TTTACAAAGGAGAGGGGGGAAAACCCTGGGTGCCTATAGGGCGATCTCCCTCATGTGTGCTGATTATAAAATTTTCGTGAAGGTTTTAGGTAATCGCATGAAAAAGGTGCATGATCGTGTACTACATAGAGGACAGTGTGGGATCCCAGGTCGAAGTATGCGTGAGGGGCATGGGAGAATTATGGATTTTGTGGAGGGTAGACAAGGGGGGGGGGAATTTTGGGGATTGATTGGAAACAGGTTTATGACTGTGTGAACAGAGGTATGTTGTGGAGTATTTTACAAAAACAGGGTTTTGGGGATGAGAATGTGCAATGGGCAACTACTTTGTATACGCCTGCGAGGGTCAGAGTACAGGTTAATGGGAAGTTAGGTTTGCCGGTGCAGATGGGGAAGGGTTTGCGACAGGGTTGTCCCTTGTCTCAAATCCTTTTTGCATGCATGCAAGACCCATTTTATAGGCTTATAGAGAAAGGAGTGTGGGAAAGGGGAGAGGAGGGCCCTGGCAGATGTGGAATTGTGGGGTATGTGGATGACACCACAGTTTTGGTGGGAGGGGAAATGGGATTGGGGAATGTGGGACGTATAATCAAGATCTTTGGTGGGGTGACATGGATGAGGGTTAATGGAGCAAAGTCAAAGTTATTGGAAGTAGGTACGTGGGTGGGGGAGGGGTTTGGGGGAACTGTATGGGTGGAATGTAGTGGATAGAATCAAGATCTGCGTGGGTTGTGTACATGGCGGATGCTGGGGAGGCACAGAAAATAAACTCAAAGGATGTGAGTAGAGCGATCGGCAGGATGCAAGGGTGAAGGGCCAGGGAAATAACATTGCAGCAGAGTAAACACACTTGTGTATAGTAAAGTGTGGGGAGTAGCAGAAGTATATCCTCTGAGATCGTGTGATATTCAGGAACTGGAGAGGCGGGTTTTGAGATATGTGTGGGGTTATGGAAGGCAATGGCTATGGAAGGAGGTGGTGATGACGGGCGTGCGGCAGGGTGGGCTGGGTCTTATACCTTTGGACACACGAGTGAAGGCAGTGTATGTGAAGCAGCGGTACCTGAGGGCAGGAGGGGAGAGGGGTATAAGGGTGGGAGAAGTCATGGAGGATGAGAGGAAATGGTGGAAGGCCAAGGCGTTATTGGTGTGTGAAGATATGGTGCGTAATTTGTTGACAATACGGGATGCAAGAAAAGTAAAGGTCAGTAAGCTGGGGAGAACAGATAGGCAGGGTGGGGTGCTACAGGGTGTAGCTACATATCCGATGTACGATTGGAGGGGCATTTGGGAAGATTTTGGGAAGATTAGATTAAAGCCGAGGGTTCGTGAAGTGGTATACATGTATAGGTTTTTTATGGGAATTCTAGCTTCAAGGTCGGTGCTATATAGAATGGGGTATGTAGGTGATGGCATTTGTTTACATTGTGGGGAGGAAGAGACGGCGTTTCATGCTGTATATTTTTGCGAAAATTTGGGGATTGTAAGGAAATAGTTAGCGAGGGTCCTGGGTATAGTGGTGGGGGATGGAAGCATTTCGACTTTGAGAGCTTTGCTTTTTGATGTGGGCGGGGTTTCCAAGGATATTCGGAGGGCAGTGATGTATGTGGTGGCAGATTTTTTGTGTGTCTTGGGGTATGAGGGAGGTGGGGGGTGAGTGTCGGGTGCGGGCGCTTGCAGCGAGTGTGTATCAAACAGTTTGCAGGAATAGGCTATTATATGGGAGGTTGTGGGTAGTTTTCCTTTGGGTTATCGTAATCTGACAGTAGGTGAAATGTTAAGGTTGGGTGTAGGTTAGAGCTGGAATGGATTGTTTTCCCGTGGAGAGTGAATGTGGAAAGTGTGTGTGGTAGTGGTGTTTGTGTGTGTACTGTCTTCAAGTATGAGGGGAGGCACAGGGGGGGTGAACTGAAGACATACGGCTGATAGCCTGGGGTTTTGACTTAATAACTTTAGGTAAGGATGTGAGTATGAACAGGGAGAGTGAGGCTGGTATAGTGTCAGGGGATGGCAGGGGGGGGGGGGGGCTTTCTAAGGTGTCTTGGACCTGGATGTTGGTTTTTTATGATGTGGACAAATCTGGTTAATATAACTGACTACAGGAATTTGTTATAAACAATTTGATTTTGGCAATACCGGTGTTAGAAAATAAACTTTTACATGTTTTATATCATGTATTTGCTGTTTAATTTGCTTTATTTTTTTTTTTTTTATGTTTTCATATGCCTATGTAATTTTTTTGCTTACTTTTGGAAAGCTTCATATATGTGTTAGGGTTAACATATTATATTGTGCACTCTTGTAGTCTGAAATCAGGTTTGGTTTTTCTCAGGTAGGGTGGGGAGGTTTGACTGGGGTAGGAGGGTGTTGAATTTTGAAGGAAGTGACAGTATCACACATATTATGCTCTTTTGAGCTGGTACCATATGATGTCAAGTCATGATAATGAATATCAGGTTTCACTATGGCTTTTAGTTGTACAAGAATATGTATCTAATTTTCTCCCCGAGTTGGTTTTTTGTTTGTGTTTTTCTTTAGACTTTTTTGCTACATGATAGTATAATTTTTCATGAGAATTTTTTTAAATATATATTTTTTGTCTGCATACACGCAGAGTTAAAATGTGCAGTGTGTTAAATTTTGTGTTTTGAATTACTTTGGAAAAGGTGTTTGGGGATGTTTAAGCTTGCTAAGTAGGTCAAGAGTCCAATAGTATGGGCTGATTGTTGCAGATATGTAGGTCTAAGATTTAGCTGCAAGTACTTCCTGTTATTGCTTTATTCAATGCCAGATTTAGGACTGTAGATGAATGGTTCACAGAACTGACATACGTATTAATAAATTAGACACATGTGCAACTCTTTTGTATCTTTATTAAGGAAACGTTTCGCCACACAGTGGCTTCATCAGTCCATACACAGGAGAAGCATGAAGAACAGGAGGAGAATGAGGTAATCAGTCCCTCAACCTTGAGTCGCTGTGGTCAGTCCATCAATCTTGAATAGATTGATGGACTGACCACAGCGACTCAAGGTTGAGGGACTGATTACCTCATTCTCCTCCTGTTCTTCATGCTTCTCCTGTGTATGGACTGATGAAGCCACTGTGTGGCAAAACGTTTCCTTAATAAAGATACCCAAGAGTTGCACATGTGTCTAATTTATTAATTAGATTGAGGATTGTTATACACTTTCTCATGTCCATGCACTGCACAATTTAATTTTAGCAATGATGTACTGTTGTGTTTCAAATAGGGAGATAAGGATTTTATGTCCTGTAACTAGACAGTTTTGATACCTTATGTTAGGATTTTGTTAGTTGTATGGGTTGTACTTGCATATATAATGTTATGTCTTTTACTTGCGGGTGTTTCCTGCCCAGTTTTTATGTGGGGCGTTTCATTGTGATATGTACCAATGTAATGTTTATTGTAGGCTTTGGTTTGCCTAATGTTTAAGTTAATGTTCTGTATAATTTTAATTTTTGTATGTTGTATAATATTTACTGTGCACTTTGTGCAAGGGGTCTAATTGTACAGAGTTGTGGGGGATTTGTGTGTGCACAGACATAAATTGTGAGTTTTTGTTTTTGCTAATGTTTTTGTTCGGTGCTGGAACTCTCTTGCTCTTTATCCTGTTAAGAGTTTCCTGCTATTTGCGGGAAGTACATATTATTGTGGTATGTCTTTGCAATTTTATTGTAGGGTTAGGTTTGTCTTTTGTTTAATTATTGTAATGTATAATTTTATCTTTCGTATGCTGTATCACATCTGTGTACTTGTGCAAGGGGGTCTTATTGTACTGTATAACAGGCATGAATTGTAGGTTTAGACTTTGTAAATATATTTTCTGAGCAGGTGTTATCCTGTTCTTTTCACTGTTCGGTGATGGTATATCCTTTAATACAATATGAATGTAACACTTAGGGTATGTTATGGGGTTGATGGTAGGTCATTGTATTTGCAAATGGTTAATTAGTGTGTTCTTTTATTTATTTATATCTTGTACTGTGTCCTTTTAAATAAAAATATAAAAAAATCTTCAGGCGAGGAGTTGCAGATTTTAGGTCCTTTTATGAGAAGTGTTTTTACACAGGTAGAGGACACACGGAATATCACTGAGGGGTTTTGTGTTCTATTGCAGCTATCAAAAAAATTTTTAGGACAGGAATAATATTAGAATTGACTGTCCTGTATATGTAGTATGCACAGAAGTACATACAAGTGAATTTTATGTAAGTTTAAGCTTTAGAAGAGCAGGGGAGTGTATTGCCTGGCATTAGATTGGGTGATAAATCATTCAACTGCTTTTGTTATTGTTGATTTCAGGTGTTATGTTGTAGTGTATACCGAGGCACAAATATCATAAGCGAGGCAAGGACAGATTAGAGCATAGTATAATGTAAGTAAAGCTGTTTGAGGTACATAGTAACATATCCTGGAGAAGATGACAGCTGATCTGGATACCTTATCTTTTATGTGCTGAATGTGGGTGTTAAATTTCAGGTTGATGTCTAGGTATATTCTATCAGTCTGCTGTGGAGGCTGCTGGTCTTTTTCATCAACTATTATATAAACTTGACGTGACTTAAACTTACTCCGCCAGCGGTAGATACAGATCTAGGGCGTCTTTGCTTACATTCCTGTGATTGGCCCTGACCTGCTGTCCCAAAATAATGTATTATTTCTTATATCTCCCAAAATAACAATATGTAATAGAAATAACAATTAGTGCCGGGATATAGACAAAATAATGTGATATTTCTCAAAACAACCATATCTCTATATTAACCAATAATCTTGTGCAGTGGTCTTGCAAACACACGTTGGAAGCACAAAGTTAAACATGTATTTAACATGTATATTTAACATAGGATAACCCAAGAGCCAAAGATGAGAATTGCATTTTAACCTGAGAAATGACCATAACGTAAACCAAGATTCTTCAGTAAAGGAATAAGACAAATCAATTTCTATCCTAATGCAGCAGCTTGTTAACTAACCTTCCAACGAGGGATGAAATACGCTTTAATATATAAAACTGACTCCAGCTCCCATTGATTGACTTGAATTCCGGACAAGGGTCGAGGCCTTTATCAAAAATTTAGGACACACCAGAAATAACCATTTCTAAACAATAATAATCATTCTCCTCATTGACTGAGGTTTATCCCTGAAATTTTGCGTTATTTACTTATATATTTACTTTATTTCGGTATTACATTTAATATATTGCTTACTATAGCCAGTAATAATTATTAAAATAGCTGACAATATTTGTCATAAATTTCGTAGGGTAGTCACTATACGGCAGCAGACGACAGATGCATACTCATTAAATTTGTTACTAAAATTATATTTTCTCTTAAATTCCATTCATTTATTGGTAATTCCTTTACTTTTACATGATTATTATAGGGGTTTAAATACAAACTTCTTTAATAATCGGGTTATTTTGAGGAGCCATCGGGATAAGTCATCGTTACATGCAACCTTTGTATCTCTAATGAATACATATAATATGTACTTATTGAAGTTTAAAACATATATTTCTTATATATGCTATAATTTCTTGTTCACAGAACATAATTTAGCTAAATAAAGATGTGAGTAATCCACGGGTGTGATGGCTGACACTGCCGGTCGTGTCAACAAGCTCATGTCAGCTGGTCAGTCCTGCCTGGATCATCTCACGTTATTATGACGGGAAATTTGCTCATATGGGTGCTTTTAGGTGTGTGTGCCGTATGTGGGGTGCTTGGTGAAGGAGAGGACGAGGTGAATGTGGGGGTAGAAAGGTACAAGATAGAAGGTCGAGTGGTGAGGCCAGATTCTTCCCTCGTCAGCCCAGCAGACTGGTTTGCCAACACTAAAGTTTTCACCAATGGTGGACATTTTGGCTTCCTAAGGTAAGTTGTAACTGTAATTTAATGATTTTGATGTATTTTATTCGGAAACTGGAATGTATTTTACTGTATGTAACTCTCAAGGAGTATTACGCATCTAGTAGACCCCATTGGAAATAATCATGTTCATTGCCTTATTGGTTTAGGTATCAGGCAGAGTCACAACTTTTTAAATCACTTATATCAAGAAGTTGTCCAGGAGAAAGGTTCGGTAGTTTTTTAAAATATAACCAAATGTAATCACGAGCTATCGAATATAATTTGGGTTTAGGTTACTGCTTGCCAGTAGGTTCACTAAATTTACATATGGGAGAACTTTTTGTCAGTAGCAAAATATTAGAGCTTGAAAACTTGGGTGAGATCATGAGATCACTAGACAAAAGAAAAAATTCCACATACTCTAAAATCACTTGGAAAGATTGATTGTAGATGAATGGTTCAGAGAACTGACACGTTGATAAAGATTGGAAAGATTGATCATGTTCTGTTTGAGATAGCATATACTGTTACATATGACTTAATAAAAGAAAAGGAAATACAAATACATGATGGAGATATCGTCATCAAAATTACATTTCTTCTGTGTATGAGATATACTATCTAGAGAGATGGCAATTCCCATGTGATAGTAACTTCAGCAATGCAGAAAGGAAGCCTTTGAGACTCCTGTAGCTGATAAACCCTTGGCTGGAATGCTTGACGATATCCTCATTGCCCTACTGAGGTCTCCTAGCTCAGGCTGACTGATTTCAGCACCTTGTATGAACCCCATCCTACATGATGGAATTTGACAGGGAAACAGTGCTAGCTTTTGCTCCAGTGTAATTATCATATAATATATAATAGGATAGCTAGCAGCACACACCTGATGTATCCAGTTTTATTATTAAAAAAGAATGAAGCCAAAGGGATGAGAAATTTACTAATAGTGGTAGAAGGCTAGAATAAATTGAAAGAGGAGGTAGCTACATCTATTGGAAATTTAAGAAAATTAGATGATGATCATATTAAAATAATGAAGATGGGACACCACGTGCATAACTACTCCTGTAGCTACAAATAGATAATTTCAAATAGTTACTAATTATGTGACTTCATTGGGTTATCATAAATGAAGCTTTAGTCATTTATTACCATTACATGGATGTATTAATCTTACTCTGAAGGAAACTATTGTAGAAAGTTTTTTCACAAATAAGGTTTATAGCAGCATATGTACAAGTTGTAGATAAATACCATATGTTTTACTAAAGGCTTTGTGGCAGCCAGCCAGAGAAAGGCCCTCCTTCCTCTTGTCCTTTTATGTTTTTTGTTTCTTTGAATTAAAACCATGCTGTATAAGCTATACATTGGTGATATGTCATAAGACTATAATATTTTCTAATACTTAATTGGTATTTCTATTTGTTGAATGTGTGTGTGTCTGAATTTTTTAAGCTTATCTGCAAATGTAAAATCAGATAGTTGGGGGTTTCCTACCAAATTGATGGTATTTGTGATAAAGGGTCTACTATATTCAGACTGGATTTTATTCAGTGCATGTGGATCTGGATGAACAGGAGTTTGTTATAAAGGATGTGGAAGGAAATTGTTATTCAGTTCTCTAATACAGTGTGGTATTGAGAACAGATACGGAAGATTTTACGTTGTTGATCTTTTATCTTTTCTGATTTTGATTTCACATTTGCATTACAGAGAAGATGGATCTTTTGTGATTAACAATGTTCCATCAGGCTCCTATGTAGTTCAAGTCATGAACCCTACCTATATTTATGAGCCTCTAAGAGTTGACATAAATTCAAAGGGAAAAATAAGAGCTCGTGCTGTCAACCACATTCAGCCATCAAATGTTATACAGGTGAGATCATTAAAACTGTGTTTTAATTTCACATTCATAAATTAGTTAGTTTTTAGTAAAACTGTACAGACAACACTTCTTATAAACGGAAGTAGCAGTGAAGCTGTCTCAGGCTGAAATTTGAAAATCATTTGTGTTACTAAGTATGCTGTATTTGTCACGCAATAAGATTGTTTCAGCATTCCCTTAATATTAGCTGAATAGGTTTTACTGGAGTTTACCAGTTCAAATAATCATAGTTTGCTTTATAAATTTCATATGTACTTCTTGACAGATGCCTCACCCGCTGCGTATGAAGTCTGTTGGACCATATCGGTATTTTCTGCAAAGAGAGCAATGGCGCTTGACTGATACTCTCATGAACCCTATGGTACTGATGACTGTTCTACCATTGGCACTGATGATGATTCTGCCAAGGCTCAACGACCCAGAAACACGCAAAGAAATGGAACAAATTCAAATGCCAAAGATGGATACTCCCGAACTCTCAGAAATAATGACTTCATTCTTTGGTGGTGGAAGCACCAGTACCCAGTGCCAGGGTAACCAACCTAAAACAAGATCGCGTCCAAATAAACGTAAGGATAAATCATAGTAAGAATAGAAAAAAAAAATTATTTGCAAAGCTTATTGAGCTAATTACAAAAACTTAATTATGTGAATAATTCAGTAGAAACTAGAAGTTTTAGACTATTTAACCTCGTGTATTGCACCATGAAATTTTAATACTTATTACAAAATATAAAGTTTGAAATGTATAATAGTTATTACTGAGTTAGTCTACAAAGTCCTGGAAATAATGTAAATAACTCACAGAAGGGGCAGGATTTGAACCTATGGCAAGCCAGTCCTAATACATACTAGCAGGCCAGTGTTGTTATGATTTTGCGAGTCATTAATGTAATTATCTTACTTTACTGTGCTTGATATTTATTTGCTATTTTGGGTACTGTACTATTTTGTTTCACATTAAAATATATAGAAATAAGTGTTTTATATGTGAGATACAGGTTGAAAATAAGATATAAATGTTAGACATGAAGTTTCATTAAACCTTTAGGCATTTTACTTTATGCTAGATCATTTGATATCCGAATATTTGTACAGTTGAATACTGTAAGTTACTTTTCTTAAGGGGAAAATGTATGGTGTTCTGAAAATTATTTACAGCCCTGAATGTATGTAAATCCCATGGAATTAAGTTTTTATCATGTTATGTTATATTTAAGGTATATTATGACTTTTGTAATTTGACATGGCCAAGTTTTTAAGAAAATATTCTAAAGAAAATAACAAAACATATTGAAAGATAAGTACTGTATAGTAGTTTGATTATTTGTGTATGAAATTTTAATGTGTACAATATAACTCTTGATGTTGCCTTGTTGTTTGTTAGACTTTGCATATTCCTGACTGGAATTTTTTGTGTAGAATATTCCAATATATTACGGTATTGTCTAGAACATAGTAATAATTCTTTGAGAACATACAATCTTGCGAGACTATACAAACATAATACTGAACATAAAAAATTCAACAACTGTTTTTCACATTTATGTTAGATGTGTTATAAAACTTGTAAAATTCTTCATTAAAAATGTAACTGCCTTGTTATTCTTTATTGCTGCCACTTGAAATTTATGCATAAGTATCTTATGAATAATACAATAATTAATACAATACTGTACTTGTGCATCATTTAACTATAGTGTTTATTTTTAAGCACTGTCTTCCACAATTGGAGATGTAAGGCCTGACAATGCAGTAATTGTATTTCCTCTGATTTAGCATATTTGCACTGTATAAGAAAAACTTTCTCCATCCTTGTTTCCTCCTTTAAGAATGAGATAATTTATGTATTTTTCCTATTAATAATGTCATATGATCAACATTGTAGCACCTAGAGAATGATAGGTATTCAGATTAAATCCAAGGAAGGTAAGATAAGTTCAGATCCTTGGATCAAGAGCCTCTCCTTAGCATCAAGGCACCTTCCTTGAGGGGACACAGCTTAAGATATTTAATCCAGGGCTGTTGAATGGGTTGACTCGTAAGCACCTCATTTTCGCTCTTAAACTTGGTCTGACTCTTCTCCATTAAAAAAGCCAGTTATAGAAATGAGAATGTAAATGCCCTGCATGAGTGAAATGTAGAGTGGAGGTGGTATGACCAACTTGGGCAAAATTTGAAAGTAGTAAAGTTAAGAGAGGGTGCAAAGCATAGATTAATGGGAAGACATCCAGAATCAATGAGAGGACAGAAAAGGCTAGGAATTTATGTTTAGACAGGTCTTAATGATGAAAAAGAGTTTCACAACAAAAATTTAAGCCAAATCCATTTTTCCCAGAGATTTCCATTAATATAATCTCATTTTTTCCTGAAAAAAAAATTGAAGTACAGCATGCTTTTCCTGTTTAACTGTATGACCCTTGTGGGTTTAGTGCTTAGGTTTGATTGTAATAATTTTCTTGTTTAAATGCCATTTTTATGGAAGCTCTGCATTTCACCAAGTGCCTCGTGCCCCTGTGAAACTTGGTACTGTAGGTAGTCTTGATGGTCTTAACATCCTTAGGTTGATTAACTCGTTTACCAGAGATCACCGAGTGATGTTTCTTTCTTTTGATGTACTGACAGCCTTCCTCTTGATGCAGAGCATGGCTTTTTATCTATGATTTATAATACTTCACTGATTTTGAATATCATATTCTGCCTTTATGCTCACCCTCAGTACTTCAACTTTTTCACAAATGTATTGTCTTGAAAAAATATATAATTATTATTACTGTCCTTTTTTCATGGTCCCACATTTAATGTAGATTTTTTCTTCTGATTTCTTAACCGACTGATTTGCTACACTGACTGTGACCAACATCCTTGTAGCATTGATGATCTTCAACAGTAGTGTAGCACTGAATAAACCCTATCAGTTTAGAGCTTTCTGATATATTTTTTTACCACCTTAGTTATAACTTAATACAGCAATTGTCAATATTTCCCTGGTTTGTACATTACTATTGTTTTATTTCCACCTCTCAAAGAAGGTGCTTTGATGCTGGTGAATGGATCTTGATCCAAGGAACTTTATCTATCTTCCCCTTTGATCAAACCTGAATTCCTCTCATTCACCAAGCAATGTATGACCCTTAAAGGTTTAGCATTTTCCCCGATTAAAATAAATAAATCCATTTCTGCATTGTGATGATGACCATATTAAAATTGAAATTGTTTATTTACAGAAAAATATAATTGTTACAAAAAATAGGTGATGTTTTATAAACTATGGAAAGCCCCTAATTATGATGAGCATTTCAGGCATAGAGTGCTATATCTGTAATGCATTATATTAACCCTTTGAGGGTCGACAGGCCCTCTCCGAGACTCGTTCTCAGGGTCTGCCAAATTTAAAAAAAAAAAAAAATAATTTTTTCTTGTGAAAAGATATAGAATTTTTTCCCGATCATAATGACACCAAAAGTTTGAAATTTTATGGAAAACTTACGGAATTATGCTCTCGCGAAGTTAGCGGTCTCAGCGATGTTTATGCATCGGCGATTTTGCCCACTTTGAGCCCCATTTTCAGCCAATTCCACTGTATTAGTCGACAAAAAACATGAATATTTCACTTGAACTCCATTTTTACTATCGAATGGGTGCAAGAAACCACCCATTTAGCAATTTCAACTATCCAGTACAGTGGTCAGAATTTAGCAATTTTGCCAATTTCACACAAATTTCAAAAGATGCCAATTTCCGAATTGGGTTCAGAATAAACAAGAAAGACATTCCTGGCACTAAAATGACATTTCCTCTGGTCATTAGTCACTTCTCAAGGCCTCTCTTATATTCTTTTGCTTTCCACTTTGAATTTTATTCTCACAAAAATAGAAGATTTACTGTTATGCAGACTACTGCATTAGTGTAAAAAATGGTATAAATAATATTGGCACACTTGTGAAAGAATATTAGACTCACCAGTTGACGTGTATTGGACGCTTGGCATGATTTGTTTACTTTTGAAATTTGGTAAAAATCGAACATTTCTGCTACTTTGGGCTCAATTTCAAGGTACTTTTCATTGTGAAACCAGTCAAAATCATCTCAATTTCTGTAATATGTCTTCCATTCTATAAAATGAGACCACGAAAACTAGAATACAACAATAAATACCATACGAAAATACACTGCAAAGTCGCTGTTTTATTCCAAAAAAAACGGTCGAAGTTTTTTTTTCTCATTATGCACTGTGTGCTGCAGGATTTTTTTTAGACTGTGCACACTGACCACATAGACCCATTCTTTCATATGAAGGCCTACCAGCTTTCTCCCACTAGATTTGAGGGCGCTAGAATTTAGGCGTACTAGTATGTCAAAAACCCTGGGTCGTAAGCCGTACAAGTACGGCCGAAACCCTCAAAGGGTTAATGAGTAGATAAAACTACAGAAATGGAATGACAATTTTTTATATATAAATTCTTTAGGAGGGTAGAGTTATAATGGCAGCAGAAAGTGTTTTTTGTGTATGGGTATATTCACCTATTTGTGGTTGCAGGGGTAAGTTCTCAGTCAATATCATGCACTTGGTTATATCTACTCCCTCTTCATGATGCTCATCCAGCAGGAATGGGGGAGGTTAGTGTGGGGCTCCCTTCTAGGGGGAGAGCCAGGGATAGGGTTATGGACAGAGAAGGGGATGGGGGAGGGTACAGGGAGAAAGATGAAGGGTGGGAAATTGATGTTAATGATGGTGATAGACAAGTAGGGACTCGCCTAGAGTTGATCCAGCTGGAAAAGGGTCAAGGTTGTATCTTGAGTTCCCATATTGGATGTTTCCACCTCTACCGCTCTTCTCCACTCTTTGTGGATTTCCACATAAATTCTTAAGTGTTCCATCTCCATCATCCTGTCCTGATCTAGGTAGACAGTTCTAGCATTGTAAGGTCTTATGCATGCTTGCTTTATGTTGTAAGATCCTGTCCGGAGGTATATGGGAGCAAAAGTTTAATTTGATCAAGCATCAGCCTTACCACCTCCTTCCCTCCCGTGTACTCCATGAGTGATATAATCTCCCACTCCACCTTCAGGCTCCTGGAGTCCATTGATAATCAGTGACCTCCATCTTCCTCCCATTGTCCCTCCTAGATTTCTTTGTTTTTACCATTGTCCTTGCTGCCTCATATCACCTTAGCCTTCCTGTCTTCAAAGAGCATTACTGTCAGTGACTTTCCTTCATTATTCTCTGAATCCTTGAGTTCCCTCTCTTTCCTTCACTGTTTCTGCCTGTACTAACCTCCCTCACATTTCCTTTATTGTCCCCTTCAGCTTTCTTCATTCATCCTCCAGTTTTAAGAATGTCTGTTAAATTAGCTCTATTTACCTGTTGTGTAACCTCTTCCCTGGCTTTATTACATAATGCCACCAAATGTTTTGTTAGTGGGATGGATTGTAAAGGACCTGCCGAGTATGGGCCAACAGGCCTGCTGCAGTGTTCCTCCTTTCTTATGTTCTTATGTTCTTATTTCCTCCTTGAAGGAACTAAACTGCTTTCGAAAGCCTCTCTCTGTTCCTCCTATAGTCTTCTTTAGCATTACCATTTCCTCTTCCAGGTTTAGAGCTCTTTGCCACAGTTGCTCTGTTTATCTGTGATTTTATCCTTTGTTGCACTGCAAGTTGCTACAGTTTCTCTCTGAAGGGAATTTAACTTTCCTCTAAACTCCTCTCTCAGTTACGCTGTATGTATGACCCTTGTCGGTTTAGCGCTTTCTTTGATTATAATAAATCCTCTCTCGGTTGGGTCTTCAAGTCATCCATTATGGTTCCTTTGTAGTGCCAGCTGCCTCCTTCATTTCCCTCCTTTCCCTGTTTTTGAGAGTCTTTGACTTGCCATTTTTTATCTTACACAAAACAGCATGTCTGGTGTGGGATGAGTGGGCAGGTAAGTGCACTCGCCAATGAATGAATGAATGTTTGTACGTGCACACGCTCTCCTATTTGTGGTTCCACAGGTTGAGTCACAGCTGTATGTACATGTACTTGCCTATTTGTGGTTGCAGGGGTTGATTCACAGCTCCTGGCCCCATTTCTTCTCTAGTCACTGTGTGTACTCTATTTGTGGTTGCAGGGGTCGAATCGGTTCCTGCGAGTGTACTTGTACTTGCCTGTTTGTGGTTCCAGGGGTCGATTCACAGCTCCTCTGTACTCACCTATTTACTCACCTATTTGTGGTTGCAGGGATCGAGTCACAGCTCCTGGCCCCGCCTCTTCGCTGATTGCTACTAGGTCCTCTCTCTCCCTGCCCCATGAGCTCTATCATACCTCGCCTTAAAACTATGTATGGTTCCCGCCTCCACTACGTCACTTTCTAGGCTATTCCACGGCCTGACTACTCTATGACTGAAGAAATACTTCCTAACATCCCTTTGATTCATCTGAGTCTTCAACTTCCAATTGTGACCTCTTGTGTCTGTGTCCCTTCTCTGGAACATCCCGTCTTTGTCCACCTTGTCTATTCCGCTCAGTATTTTATATGTCGTTATCATGTCTTCCCTGACCCTCCTGTCCTCCAGTGTTGTCAGGCCGATTTCCCTCAACCTTTCTTCGTAGGACAATCCCCGTAGCTCTGGGACTAGTCTTGTTGCAAACCTTTGCACTTTCTCTAATTTCTTGACGTGCTTGCCTAGGTGTGGATTCCAAACTGGTGCTGCATACTCCAGTATGGGCCTGACATAAATGGTATACAGAGTCTTAAACGAATCCTTACTGAGGTATCGGAACGCTATCCGTAGGTTTGCCAGGCGCCCGTATGCTGCAGCAGTTATCTGATTGATGTGTGCCTCAGGAGATATGCTCGGTGTTATACTCACCCCCAGGTCTTTTTCCTTGAGTGAGGTTTGCAGTCTTTGGCCATCTAAACTATATTGTGTCTGCGGTCTTCTTTGCCCTTCCCCAATCTTCATGACTTTGCATTTGGCAGGGTTAAATTCAAGGAGCCAGTTGCTGGACCAGGCTTGTAGCCTGTCCAGGTCTCTTTGTAGTCCTGCCTGATCCTCATCCGATTTGATTCTTCTCATTAACTTCGCATCATCTGCAAACAAGGACACTTCTGAGTCTATCCCTTCAGTTATGTCGTTCACATATACCAAGAACAGCACAGGTCCTAGGACTGAACCCCGATTGTCACAGGCGCCCACTCTGACACCTTGTCGCGTACCATGACTCGTTGTTGCCTCCCTGACAGGTATTCTCTGATCCATTGCAGTGCCTTTCCTGTTATGTGTGCCTGATCCTCTAGCTTTTGCAGTAACCTCTTGTGAGGAACTGTGTCGAAGGCCTTCTTGCAGTCCAAAAATATGCAGTCGATCCACCCCTCTCTCTCTTGTCTTACTTCTGTCACCTTGTCATAAAACTCTAGTAGGTTTGTGACACAGGATTTTCCTTCCCTGAAACCGTGCTGGTTGTCAATTATACACTTGTTTCTTTCCAGGTGCCCCACCACTCTCCTCCTGATGATCTTCTCCATGACCTTGCATACTATACACGTTAGTGATACAGGTCTGTAGTTTAGTGCCTCATGTCTGTCTCCCTTTTTAAAAATTGGGACTACATTTGCCATTTTCCATACCTCAGGGAGTTGCCCGTTTCAAGTGATGTGTTGAAGATCTTTGTTAATGGCTCACACAATATCTCTGCTCCCTCTTTAAGGACCCATGGAGAGATGTTGTCTGGTCCCACCGCCTTTGAGGTGTCAAGTTCGCATAGCAGCTTCTTCACCTCCTCCTTGGTTATATGTACCTCATCCAGCACTTGCGGGTGTGCCCCCCTGTTCTGATTTCCTGGAGTCCTACTGGGTTCCACTGTAAATACCTCTTTAAATCTTGTGTTGAGCTCCTGACATACCTCTTGGTCGTTTTGTTGTGAATTCCCCATCACCCTTCCTCAGTCTGATTACCTGGTCCTTGACTGTTTTCCTCCTGATGTGGCTGTACAACAGCTTCGGGTCAGTCTTTACTTTTGATGCTATGTCATTTTCATATTGTCTCTGAGCCTCCCTTCTTATCTGTGCATATTCGTTTCTGGCTCTTCGGCTGATTTCTTTATTTTCCTGAGTTCTCTGTCTTCTGTACCTTTTCCATTCTCTAGTACACCTAGTTTTTGCCTCCCTACACCTTTGGGTGAACCAAGGACTCGTTCTGTTCTTCCATTATTTTCTGTTTCCCTTGGGAACAAACCTCTCCTCTGCCTCCTTGCATTTTGTTGCTACATAGTCCATCATTTCTTGTACTGGTTTTCCTGTCAGTTCCCTCTCCCACTGAATGTCTTGAAGGAAGTTCCTCATGCCTGAGTAATTCCCCCTTTTGTAGTTTGGTTTTTCCCAGCCTATTCCTGCTACTCTCTCCACTTGGAGCTCAACTATGTAGTCGAAGCACAGAACCACATGATCACTAGCTCCCAGAGGCCTTTCATACATGATACCCTCGATGTCCGAACTACTCATGGTGAATACAAGGTCCAGTCTTGCTGGTTCATCCTCTCCTCTCTCTCTGGTATTTGTCTTTAACATGTTGATGCATGAGGTTTTCCAGTACCACATCCATCATCTTGGCTCTCCATGTTTCGGGACCCCCATGGGGCTCCAGGTTTTCCCAGTCAATCTCCTTGTGATTGAAATCACCCATAACTAGTAACTTTGCTCCTCCCATGTGTGCTCTCCTGGCCACCTCGGCTAGTGTGTCGATCATTGCTCTGTTGCTCTCATCATATTCTTCTCTTGGCCTCCTGCAGTTTTGTGGTGGGTTGTACATTACTGCAATTATCACCTTATGTCCCTCAGACTGGATTGTTCCTACTAAGTAGTCCCTTTCGCCCATGCCATCCATTTCTTCCATTTTCTCAAAATCCCACTGGTTTTTAATGAGCAGTGCAACTCCTCCTCCCCCTCTCCTCCCTCTGTCTTTCCTGAGGATTTGGTATCCGGATGGAAAGATTGAATCTGTTATTATTCTGGTGAGTTTTGTTTCTGTGAGTGCTATTATGTCTGGGGATGTCTCTTTGATTCTTTCGTGCCACTCCTCATATTTGTTTGTTATTCCATCTGCATTTGTATACCACACCTTCAACTTCTTTTCTAAGACTGTGGTCTGGGAGGTATATTGGGGTTGGGGAAGTGGGAGACCTGGTAAGGAACTATGGGTTGTTGCTGTAGGGGTGGAGTTTGTAATGTAGTGGGTGGGGGCATTTGGGTGTGGCATGGGTGTTTTGATTTAGAGTGTTTGGTTGCACTGGGGTTGACCTGGTTGGGAGGCTTCTATAGGAAGTTGTGAGGGAGGCTGTATTTGATCTTCTTCCCGGGTCTGGGATCTCCTGTCTGTTTTTCTCCATCCCTCTCTTTCCTCCTTTCGCCTTTGTAACATCTCTCTCAGTTTCTGCCTTTCTTCTTGTGATCTGTCGCGGTCGAGATACACCTTCCTGTATGCCGGCATGTCCCTTAATCGTGCTTTCTCCTGCAAGATCCTGGTCCGAGTCGCTTCTGCCTTGAAGGTCACTTTCACTGGCTGGGTTCTTTTTTTTACAAACCCCCCTATTCTCCGAAAATTTTCCAGCTGGGTCATGTCGTCTTCTCCTATTGCTTTCATGATGCTTTCAATTGCTTTTTTTCCCCTTGTTTTCTTGCTTCATATGTTTCCCCTTCAGCTTCCTGGAGCCCATACACGAAGACTGACCTCACCCTTTCATTCTCCCACTGCTTATCCCTGTGTATCCCCTCATTTAATTTGGTTTCCTGCACTGCAGCTTTCCTTTCTTCAGTTTCACTGGCTAATGTACTTGGGCTCAGTGGCCTGTCATTTTCCCTTCTCGGCTTTCCTTGGGCTCTGTTGTTGTCTGTTAGGGCCTCCACATAAAGCTTAGCTCTTTCATTTACTACAGTCTCCTCTGTTTACATTAATGTTTTTCACTGATTTCATCATTGCTTAGTTAATCTTAAGTTAATTTTAAGCCAGCCCGTAATGCTATGCATAGTATAAGTGGCTTTGGCATGCTGCTCTTATCTGTATTTTTTTGTACCTCTGTATGTGTGCTCAAATTATAAATAAATAAATAAAAAAATAAATAGAGCCTTCCCATGCAGTTGTGCCCCTTCTTTCCCTACAGTCCCCTTATTTGTGGCTAAGGTAGCAGTCTCTGTTGTCAATCCCAAAATGTTCTTTAGTTCTTTAGGCTGTTTCAGATTTTTCAGTTCCTCTTCTAAACTCTGTATCCTAGCCTCTGCTGCTTTGACATGCACCTCCCACTTCCTGCTTTCCATATCTATCCTCTCTTCCATTCTCATGCTAAGTTCTTCTAGTTTCTTTTCCCATTCATGATCCCTTTTTATGAGCTCTGCTGCCCAATCTTCCTTTGCAGCTTCCTCCTCCTGTCCCTTGGTTTTTCTTGTTGCTCTCTGACAACCCATTTTTGTTTTATCCTGATTGCCTCAGAGTGGGAAACCTATATAGTTCTGTATGTTAGGTTAGTAGTGTGTATGTCAGAGTGTGGGGGGGAGGTAGTGGAGGAACTGTGGCTATGTGGGAGAGGAGTGGGGAGGGGTCGGGAGGGTCTGGGTGAACGGGGGAGGGGAGGGTGAACGAGGGAGGGGAGGGATCAGGGGAAGAAGTGAGTTGTCGGTGGTGAGGGGGGGGGAGTGTATGTGTGAGTCTGGATATGTGTGTGTGTGTGTGTCTGGATATGTGTGTGTGTGTGTGTGAGTCTGGATATGTGTGTGTGTGTGTGTGTGTGTGTGTGTGTAATCTTGTGTGGAATTATGTGTGGGTTTATTATGTACTGAAAGGTAGGTGGCTTGTGTGTGTGTGTGTGTGGTCATGTGTGTGTGTGTGTGTGTGTGTGAATTTGTTTTGTCTGGCTGCAGCCCACCCTCTTAATCACAGAATATGGCACTGCTGTAAAAATTGTCATATGGGTGGCCGTTGATAGAGCCTCGAACAATTTAAATATGACGTGATTATATGAGCCGTGTGCCGTGGGCACTCAGTTTCTGTTAGTACAGCAGACTATTTAATCATTAATTATCGTACGTTTATAGTTTTCCATTGTGACTTAACCTAAGCAAGTTAAGGGTTCCTTTCAGCATTATATTTTTGTGCCACATTGCTCAGAATTGTTTTATAGGTGCCCTTGCTGTATGACCCTTGTGGGTTTAGTGCTTGTTCTGGGGAATACCCCTGTTCTTTCCCGCAACTTCAATCTGGCACTGGCTCTTGATTCAAGGAATCAGAGCCATTCTCTTGTGGATCGAAGCTGATTTCATTCTCTCCCTAAGGTGCTGTGTTGCCATTACGCAGGTTCAGATTCAGATTCAGATTCATTTATTTCTTTGCAAGTAGTACATTGAAATTATATTTTTACAGTGATGGGTTGCAGTGCAAAGAGAGCCTCTATTATGCCTTGGCATTATGGGCTGACTTAATTAATTCAATGGCTTACTGACTACTTATCACTAAAGAAATTATCATAGTTGTACAGTAGTAGTGAAATAGATACATCATAAATTCCCTACGAAAGCAAAAGACTTGGCAGGCGGTACAACCACCCCTTCCCCTAAATGAAAAGCAGGGGCACCTTGAGTAGACTAAGAGACTGCAGTAAGTGTCAGGGGTTCAAGACTGTTCAATTGCCTCCCAGCATACGTAAGGGGAATTATCAATAGATCCCTGGCTGCCTTTAAGAGGGAGCTGGACAGGCACCTATAGTCAGTACCTGACCAGCCAGGCTGTAGTTCGTTACGTCGATTTACGTGCGGCCAGCAGTAAAAGCCTGGTTGATCAGGCCCTGATCCACCACGAAGCCTGCTCATGTACCGGGCCGCAGGGGCGTTGACCCCTGGGACACCCTCCAGGTATACTCCCCCTTCAGATAATAGTGCATAGAGCAAAATAAACTGAAGGCTCACTGAATACAACAATTATTTAATAATTTTATGCATATTTTTATTGAAAAATTAACACAATCGCCTTGCGTGTTTTTTTTTTCTATTATGTATAATGTTTTGATGACGTGTTGATGTAAACATGTGAGTGACAGCAGAGCAGTGACAACAGCAGCGGCAGTGACAACAGCAGCGGCAGTGACAACAGCAGCAGTAGCAGTGAGTGAGGCAACATGGCTGGCAGAGCGCTGAAGAGACTCATGACGGAATATAAGCGTAACTATACCACACTTTCCTCTCTCCAGGGAGGTGCCTTCAGTGTCCATTATGGGCTCTTGATCATCAGGTTGGATCAAACCTGATTGCCTCTTGTTATTTGGGCTTTTTAATTTGTGTTTAGATGCCAATACTGTGTGTGCTCAACTCATTACAGAGAACTCCAAAACTCTGTATTTTTTTTTTTTTGTTTTGTTTTGGTAATAATTAGTTTTACACCTAATTAAATTGCCCTAATTCCCTGTTCACCTAGCAGTAAGTGGGTACCTGGTGTTAGTCGACTGGTGTGGGTCGCATCCGGGGGGACAAAATTGAAGGACCCCAATGGAAATAGGACACAGAGTATAGGCTAGGTGGCCAAAGACTGCAAACCTCGCTCAAGGAGAAAGATCTTGGGGTGACCATAACACCGAGCATGTCACCGGAGGCACACATCAACCAGATAACTGCTGCAGCATATGGGCGCCTGGCAAACCTGAGAATAGCGTTCCGATACCTTAGTAAGGAATCGTTCAAGACACTGTACACTGTGTACATCAGACCCATACTGGAGTATGCAGCACCGGTTTGGAACCCACACCTGGTCAAGCACGTCAAGAAATTAGAGAAAGTGCAAAGGTTTGCAACAAGGCTAGTTCCGGAGCTCGGGTATGCCCTACGAAGAAAGGTTAAGGGAAAGCGGACTTATGACATTGGAGGACAGGAGGGTCAGGGGAGACATGATAGCAACATACAAAATAATGCGTGGAATAGATAAGGTGGACAGAGACAGGTTGTTCCAGAGAGGGGACAGAAACAAGGGGTCACAATTGGAAGCTGAAGACTCAGACGAGTCAGAGGGATGTTAGGAAGTATTTCTTCAGTCATAGAGTTGCCAGGAACTGGAATAGCCTAGCAATTGATGTAGTGGAGGCAGGAACCATACATAGCTTTAAGACGAGGTATGACAAAGCTCAGGAAGCAGAGAGAGAGGACCTAGTAGCGATCAGTGAAGAGGTGGGGCCAAGAGCTGAGTCTCGACCCCTGCAACCACAATTAGGTGAGTACAGTCCCTGATGACGCATTGACTTTCTCAGGTTATCCTGGGTAGATAACTTAAAAATCTGCATAAATCTTATCATTTATATATTTTGTAAATAGCAACCATGTTATCTGTTGCATGGGGAAAAAATGGTTACTTGTGGAAGGTGTTTAAGTGATATTATGACAAAATAAAATGTCATTTATGTAAAAAAAATTCTGTGGGTTTTGCAGTGGAGTTGGCTATATTTTAAATAGGAACAAATATTTTTGATAAGTTAAATAGCATGACTTAACCCAGCTCAGTCAAACCTAACCTAGACAAACTGTAAAATTGTTAAAAAAAAAAAACATACCACGGACGGGGATAGAACCCGCAATCAGAGAATCTCTGATTGCAGGTTCTATCCCCCTCCGTAATATGGTTTGTTTACAATCATGTCATTACAATTTCGTGAGTCATGTAAAATTGTTAATTAGGTTAGGTTTGGTAATTAGATTAGTTTATATTAAAAATAAAGGTCTTTTCCCATAGGCACTAAATATATGTATTGTATCTCTATTTTCTCAAATGACAGTTTTTGTCATCTCCCTTTCAGATCCTGTTTCTCTCAATAACTGTTAATTATGAGCTCATAAAGTTATCCACTTAAATAACTAATAGGCTCACTCTTAGTATAGACAAGACTGTTTCTCTATGTTGTTTGGAAACAGTTACAAATGAGCATCTCAGTATAATGATAAATGATTTACACATTGCAAAACATAATGAGGAGAAAATTCCTAGGTCTGTTCCTTGACAGCAGTTAATAATACTAGTATAGACAAGACTGTTTCTCTATGTTGTTTGGAAACAGTTACAAATGAGCATCTCAGTATAATGATAAATGATTTACACATTGCAAAACATAATGAGGAGAAAATTCCTAGGTCTGTTCCTTGACAGCAGTTAATAATACTAGTATAGACAAGACTGTTTCTCTATGTTGTTTGGAAACAGTTACAAATGAGCATCTCAGTATAATGATAAATGATTTACACATTGCAAAACATAATGAGGAGAAAATTCCTAGGTCTGTTCCTTGACAGCAGTTAATAATACAAATTTCACATCCAGCACATAACCATTAGGGTCTCCAAAACTGTGGGCATCATCTCCGTAAGATATGTTACTGTTTCTCTAACAGCATTACTTACTCCCAATTATATTCTCTAATCTATCCTTATCTCACCTTTAGTATTTGTGCTTGGGATCTACTATAATAAATCACCTAAAGTCAGTAATTACCCAACAAAAAAAACCTGCTGTACAAATGATCACTCAAGCAAGTGCTAGACAACCCCTTCCCCCCATTCTTCAGGTGCTTAAACTATTCATCATAAAAAATATACACAATTAATACAAACATAAACCCTGCTCAGAAACTTTCTGGATAGCTGTAGTAGAACTCAAAGGCTTAATACAAGATTCAGATGCGTCTTTGATAACCCCTTGTGTTTGACAGACCCTGAGCAGAAATTCAATATTTCAAATATAATAACCCCTCAAGGAAGGTTCCTTGATGTTGGTGAGGGGCTCTTGATTTAGGGAATTGGATCTGTGCTCCAGTTCCCCGAATTAAGCCTGAATGCCTTCCACATCCCCCCCCACAGGCGCTGTATAATCCTCCAGGTTTAGCGCTTCCCCCTTGATTATAATAATAATCAAATATAATAATGGTATACAATACCAACATGTTGATAAGCAAGACATGTGTCCAACAGCTAGATATCTTTATTCCAAAATGTTTTGCCTACACAGTAGGCTTCATCTGTCAAGTACTGAGGTGGTGAACATGGAGACAGCAGGAGCAGTGAAGTAAGGATGATGTTATCAGTCCATCAACCTTGAAGAGGTTAAGAACCACTGTCTTAGACTAAGTTGTTGTAAAATGTCACTTTCATGTACAGGATCTATAATTACTGTACTATACAGTGGTACCTCGGTATACATCCACTTTGGAATAAGTCCAACTTGGTATACATCCTGTTTGGACGCGAAAGTTTTTGCTTGGTATACGACCTTTGTTTGGAATACAGCTCGTGTTCTAGAACTTGTGTGGGTCAAAATGAGTCATGACACCGCGCGCTACCGTTGTTTACCTCTCCAGACAAAGCCATAACTGCTTTGAGGGTTTTGAGGCTGTGTTTATAGTGGAGGATATTATCTCTCTGGGCAGGTCCATGTGTCTGGATGTGAGTGATGGTGATGTGGAGGAGTTAGTGGAGGGGCACAGGGAAGAGCTGACCACTGAGGAGCTGCAGGAACTTAAGGAGGAGGAGCACAAGACTAAGATGGATGCACTCTCTTCAGGCTTGGAAGAGGATATAGAGGAAGCCCCTACTTCATTAACAAGGAAATCTTTGCCAAATGGATGGACATCAAAACCTTTGCAGAGAAGTACCACCCCAACAAAGCCCAAACAAGCCATAATAGTATTATCTGGAATGACCAGACAGTGTCACATTTCCGAAACATCCCGAGGAGAAGGCAGAAGCAAAGTTCTTTGGACAGATTTTTAGTAAAAGTCAAACCTGGTGAGCTTCAACCAGGTCCAAATAGGATAAAGAGACAGAAAAAAGAAGGGGTCTCTCCTTCCAAACAATAACATTTCCTCCTCCTCCTCCTCCTCCCTTCTCAGCACTATCCTAGTAAGCACTTGACTCTTTTCAGCAAAGTAAAGTGAGGTTAAATTTGCAGTTATTTCATCTAATTCTTTTGTATTTATGTATGTATTTTAGTATTAAGCAGTGTTTAAATCACATATTTTAGTATTAAGCAGTGTTTAAATTATTTTATACAACCCCATCAGTGTATAATATGCCAATAACACTAGGATGTTTTTTTCATGGGAACGGATTAATAGTTTTCCTCACATTTCTTATGGAAAAAATCATTTGGTATACATGTACTTCCTGTTTGGTATAAGTCCAAGGTCCTGGAACGGATTAAGGATGTGTACTGAAGTACCACTGTATATAGTTTGTGATTATTTAAGATGGAACAAATTCTGTCATTCATATTAGTTTTTTATTGACATGTTATTCCTAGTCATTTTCTCCTTTTAATCAGTCTGCTTAATTGCCATATCCTCAGTCTTTTCCTGCTGCCCATTCTTTTACAACCATGAGCTCCTTTCATATTGTGAAATTCATTGTACTATAGTGTCATATTTTTTGTTACTGAAAATAGCATTATATCTTGAATCTTGGTTATTTCAGAATTGACATTAAACCCTCCTGAAGGAATTATTGCTGGCCCAACCAATGAAGAAAACTTTTTTGAATGGGAGGCACTAATCATGTGAGTTGTATAAAATTTATCATTTAACCAGTATTTGTATATTGCAGTACTTGTACTGTATTTTAAATACTGTAATAATGATATTGAGTCACCTGTATATACAGGCATCTCCATGAGGAAGTGGAACAGAATTCTTCCTCCGTAAGCCATGTGTGTCGTAAGAGCAACTAAAATGCTGGGAGCAAGGGGCTAGTAACCCCTTCTGTATATATTACTAAATTTAAAAAAAAAAAAAATACAGTGGACCCCCGGTTAACGATATTTTTTCACTCCAGAAGTATGTTCAGGTGCCAGTACTAACCGAATTTGTTCCCATAAGGAATATTGTGAAGTAGATTAGTCCATTTCAGACCCCCAAACATACACGTACAAACGCACTTACATAAATACACTTACATAATTGGTCGCATTCGGAGGTGATCGTTATGCGGGAGTCCAATGTACTTTGTTTTTCTTTTTGGAGCACTCTGCTTTGGTGGGATATGGCCGGTTTGATGGAAAAAAAAATATACAGGCAATCTCTGCTTAATGAATGTATTGTATTCTGAAAAAAATACAAGACCTGTACTGTAACTCAAGTTTTCTTGGAAATTTATTTCAGCTCTGAAATGTAAGAAAAAATATTACATATTTTAAAAGAAACCGAATCACTGTGTTGATAGTTACCATACTGCTACTGCACCACTGAATGGAGATAGCATGGGCAATTATGTATCAAGAGTTCGTGTCAAAATTTAATGGAGGGCATAGGGATAGTGGGCTTTGGGTGTTTTGAGTCGAGAGAATTACTGTTTTGGGAAGACCTAAATGCTAATGTGAGTGAGACAGTTGTAAATGGTGTAGTAGGTAAGTTGAGGGTGCATGCATTACTGCAGTAGATGAAAGATTTACAGGTAGCCATAGATGTGCATGTTTTTAGAGGAGTGACAGATGTCAGTTTATTTAGTGGTAACTACAGGAGTAAGGGGTAGATGGAGTACAAGGAGACTTGCAGCAGTGGGGAAACAGGAAAGTGAAAGTATTTGAGTTAAGGAAGGTGATGAGGAAGAGGTATTCTTAGTGTGTGCAGCAGAAATTTGTTGGTAAAAGAGGGTGGGTGTAGATGGGAAAAGGGAATTATAAGCTGGGATATATGGGATTAAGAAAGAACTGTTAAATGCATGTGGACATACACAAATAACCCACACATAAAAGAGAGGAGCTTACAATGACATTTCTGTCCGACTTAAGCTCCTCTCTCCTGTGTGAGGGTTATTTGTGTATTGTTCCAGTCACAGTAATGTGCCTTTTTGTTCTGCATGTGGGCATAGTGTTGGAGCAGTTGGTGTACATATTCAGTGTAGTATGTGTATGAAAGAAGGGAATGCATAGTTACCTTGTATAAGGAAGAGAATGTAAGAAATAAAGGGTAGAGGGATAAGCCTGTTGAGTATACCAGATAAGGTTTATGGTAGAATTTTCATTGAGAGGAGGGGCAAAACAAAGTAGGACTGCAGTGGAGCAGGGAAGATTTAGGAAGGGTAGGGGATGTGTATACCAAGTGTTTACGCTGAAGCATATAGGTGAACAGTACTTAGAAAAGGGTAAAGAGCTATTTGTTACTTTCATGGATTTAGAACATGCATATGATAGGATGGATAGGGAGCCATGTGGCAGATGTTGCAATGTATGGACTAAGAGGTAGATTACTAAATTACTGAAAGCAATTGAGTTTTTATGAAAAGGTTAGGGTATGTAGAAAGGAGGGGGATGTCATTTCCCAGCAAAAGCAGAATTTAGATAGGGTTGCATGATGTCACCATGGTTGTTTAACATATTTGTAGATGGGGTTGGGAAAGAAGTTAATGCTGTGATGTTGGGAAACGATGTGGGATGAAAAGATGCTGGATCTGATACAAAGTGGAAGTTATCACAGTTTCTTTTTGGTGATGACACAATTCTTTTAGGGGATTCTGAAGACAAGTTGCAAGGCTAGTGGATGAATTTAGGAGAGTATTTAAAAGAAAACTAACAGTGAATGTAGATAAGAGCAAGGCGATGAGAGTAACTCAATGTCTGGGCAATGATATATTGAATATCAGATTGGAGGGAGGTAGTATGGAGGAACTGGATGTATATTTGGAAGTAGATTTGCCAGTAGATGGATCTATAAAAGACGAGACAAACCATATAATAGAGGGGGAAAAAAAGTGGGTGGTAAGTTGAGGCATCTGTGGAAAGAAAGTTCATCTATACCTGGAGAGGGTTTCAGGGGTCAATGCCCCCATGGCCCAGTCTGTGACCAGACTTCATGGTGTCTATGGGGCAAAAAATTATGTACCAGTATTTTTATATGGGTGTCAGGCATGGGTTTTGAATGCTGCAGCACAGCAAGGAGGCACCTAGAAGCACTAAACATGCCACATCTGAGAGCAGTATGTGGCGTGAATGTCGTGCAGTAAATTCAGAGCATGGAAATTAAAAGGTACCTTTTACCGCCCCTGAGAAAGGGTGGCTGAGGTAGTTTAAGCATGTCAAGAGTACGGAGAGAGGTAGAATAACAAAGAGATATAAATTTGGGGTGAAAGGTAGGTGGAGCCGGGGTCATTCCAGGAACAGGGGTGGGATGGGGGGAAGGAGGGGGTAAAGGAGGTATTGAGCTTTAGGAGCTGGAGCATCCAGCAGGTTTGTGCATGTGACATTCTGTTGGAGTGTGAGCAAGGTAAATTCTGGTGGTGTGAGCAAAGTAACATTTTTGAAGGGATTCAGGGAAGCCAGATAGCCAGACCTGAGTCCTGGAGGTTAGGAGGGCATTACCTGCACCCTGAAGGAGGGGTATTGATTTTGTAGTTGGAGGGTGATCTGAATTGTAGGTCAGCACATTTCTGGCACAACGGCAGTTGAATGAATGATGGTGAATACATATTCTTTTCGTCATTACCTTATGGGAGACAGCTGTTGAGGTAAAAAGTAAGACAGGTGGTATCATCTCATCTCAGCTGAGGAAACACTTTTGTAGGTAGTCTAATGCACTACTTCATTTATCATTTGGTGGACAGTTGGTATTCATTTTTGAGCAGAACTTGCTAGTTTAAGAGAGCAAAATAAATAAAATACCTGTACCCACTGATGCACTTCCACCTGTTAAAAACAAGCACTAGGGAGTGTGGTCTAAATTGGTGAAACTAGTAGAAAATATAAATACTCTCTTTGACTTGGCGAGTTATTTAACTTAATATTGGAATCAACTGCTGGAGGCAGTGGAGATGTCATGTCTGAGGGCAATGTGTGGTGTGAATATAATGCAGAGAATTCGTAGTTTGGAAGTTAGGAGGAGGTGCGGGATTACCAAAACTGTTGTCCAGAGGGCTGAGGAAGGGTTGTTGAGGTGGTTCGGACATGTAGAGAGAATGGAGCGAAACAGAATGACTTCAAGAGTGTATCAGTCTGTAGTGGAAGGAAGGCGGGGTAGGGGTCGGCCTAGGAAGGGTTGGAGGGAGGGGGTAAAGGAGGTTTTGTGTGCGAGGGGCTTGGACTTCCAGCAGGCATGCGTGAGCGTGTTTGATAGGAGTGAATGGAGACAAATGGTTTTTTAATACTTGACGTGCTGTTGGAGTGTGAGCAAAGTAACATTTATGAAGGGATTCAGGAAACCGGCAGGCCGGACTTGAGTCCTGGAGATGGGAAGTACAGTGCCTGCACTCTGAAGGAGGGGTGTTAATGTTGCAGTTTAAAAACTGTAGTGTAAAGCACCCTTCTGGCAAGACAGTGATGGAGTGAATGATGGTGAAAGTTTTTCTTTTTCGGGCCACCCTGCCTTGGTGGGAATCGGCCAGTGTGATAATAATAAAAAATAATTTTCACTTTCATAAATTTGTTTCCAAATGTTTTGTCTTGTTTAAAGCAATAACAGTTTACAGTTTTTAAGTTTTAATATGGTATTATAGTGGCTATTTAGGTAATGAGACTGCTTGAAACTTGCTAATGTAAGTGAACAGGTATACTTTATATATAGTGTGGAGAACTAATCAAATATTATAGACCTTAAAATTAATCTTGCTTAGGACACGGAGTGGCTGTTCTCCATCAGAAGGGGCCTGTGAGGTCTCCATGTAGATAAGGAGCACCAAAATTATACTCCTAATCAAAATTTAGATTTATAATTAAACTGATACAGTTTTATACACTAAGGATTTAAGATGTTCTTTCCAATATGAATCTTTTTAGGGGCCCTGAAGGAACTTGTTTTGAGTGTGGAGTCTTCCCAGCTAAGTTGATTTTCCCTCCTGACTACCCTCTGTCACCCCCCAAGATGCAGTTCACATGTGAAATGTTTCATCCCAACAGTGAGTCATTTTTTAGGGCCATGCATCTGTGCGGGAGCTTTATAGTAATCACATTGTTTGTCCATTATCTTATATATGAATTCAGAAAGCATAAGACAGTACAGTACTTACAATTCCCTAGGAACCCGTCATGGTCAATCCCAACAACACTTGCTAATGACTTAATGGATGTTATAAGAGCTATTATGATGACTGGAACCTAAATGTAGTTTTTAAAGGTATAATTTGATAATTAAATTTTTATTCCAAGTACGTACGTGTACAACATAACTGACTTAGCTTATGTTTAGTAGTAGGGTTTGCTGCAGGCATATAAATGAAAAGTTGGAAACTTCCTTGACTACATACAGTTATTAGTGTAGAATTTCAAGTTATTTTTAGTATGTTTTGCAGGAAATATATTAAACCCAGTAACATTAAAATTAATTTGCTACACATTTAAAAAATACAGGTATTTAAAAGAGCCCAAGAGTTTAAAAAATTAAAGATGGTTAATCCTAATCACAAATTAGCTTAGAACTGTTAACTTTCTTGGGTACCAAACCATATGAGAAGTATCAGAAGTGAACTAGCTGACAGTACAGCAAATGCTCAGAAAATGCTTTAAAACTTATTGCACTTTTATCATTTTCTGATTATTGTCAAGAAATAACAAGCAAATTTATATTCAAGATTAGCTCAGTAATCAATTTATGAAGTAAAAAAACAGTAAAATGAAAAGCTACTTAATTTATATTATTTACACTATATATTTAATTAAACCTGTATATTAATCATCACTACATTCAGAATTGCTCATAACTTTGCTTTCTTTAACCACCAGTTTATTCTGATGGTCGAGTGTGCATATCCATACTTCATGCACCTGGTGATGACCCCATGGGTTATGAGACCAGTGCTGAGAGATGGAGTCCAGTGCAAAGTGTGGAGAAAATATTACTGTCAGTGGTATCTATGTTGGCAGGTGAGTGCAAGATATTTTTCAGAGCTATCTTTAGGTTAGGTAAAGTTTGTCTGGAAGCAGGACAAGTATATCTTCATGCGGGTCTTAGCCATATGATGACCCGTAGCTGGAGCTTTTGGTCATTTGACCATTGCCTTCCACTGGCTTACCAGTCCACCCCATTAAAAATTATGGTAGCTATCTTTATTGGTAGGTTCCTTCTAGGATGTCTCTTGTGCAGTATGTACAATAGTGTGTGAAGATCTCTTGGAGTTCTTTTTTTTTTGCCTACCTTTTCTCAGATTAAATCTGAATACCATTTCTCCTTTACTCAGTGAGAAAAAAAAATGAATGAAATGCAACATTTCTGAAGATTAAATTTGTTACAGTTGATATTGCAAAATTTTCTAGACAACAGCTCATTTCTGCAAGACAATTTCTTTAATTTCTACCACTTTCTTATCATTCTGATGTGTACACTATTAACACAGATCAGTTACACTGCCTAATGATTTCACAGTTGCTAGGGTGGGACCAGGAGGCACCCTGTATTACAATCAGAAAAAAAAATTCATTGCATCTCTTAATTTTTGCAGGGTACCTGATTTCTATATGACTGATTTTTGTGAGATGATGGTTGTCCATAAGTCCTACTTTTACTGGAAAATAGCCATCCTAACACGACCCCTGCTATCCTTATAAGAACTCGACTGCTTTTAGTAACCTGCTGGTTAACCCCTAAATGTAACGAACAGCTGTTTAACCTTATCTAAGTACTACCAACTTTAATGCTTCATTGTAAACACTTGGTCTGCATGTCCTATACTGTTCCTAAGTCCTCATTGCTCCTTTGCAATCCTACTTTATCGTGCCTCTAACCCTTTCAATAAGAACTGTACCATACATTTACATGGCATACTCAGCAGGCTTATCACCTTATAATTCTTAAATTTATTTTTGTCCCTTTTTTCCATATGTGTACATACAAGGACTATGAATGCTTCCTGCCAGTCCTTAGGTATCTTCCCTTCTTTTGTGCTCTCTTTACCCCCACCCCCCAACAAACCAGCTATATCCTACCTAGGCAGGATGACCTAAAGAAGAAAAACAACTGTTTTTTGTTTTAAATTTAGTAGTGTATACAGGAGAAGGATTACTAGCCCTTTGCTTCCAGTATTTTATTCACCTCCCATGCCATGCATGGCTTATGGAGGAAGAATTCTGTTCCATGGAGATAAGAGGAAATAAAGAATAAGAACTATTAAGAAAATAGAAAAAACTCTTATGGGTGTGTATGTAGATGTGTGTACATGCATGTGTAGTGTGACCTAAGTGTAAGTAGAAGTAGCAAGATATACCTGTTATCCCGTGTGTTTGAGACAGAAAATAAGACACCAGCACTCCTACCATCATGTAAAACAATTACAGGTTTCCATTTCATACTCACTTGGCAGGACAGTACAGTATTACTTCCCTGGGTGGTTGTTGTCTACCAACCTATTACCTGTATTCTTTCATGCATTTTATTTTTTTAACACATCAGCCGTTTCCCACTGAGGCAGGGTGATCCAAAAAGAAAAAAACCCAAAAAGAAAGAAAAAATGTCATTAGTATTCAACACTTTCACCATCACTCATACATAATCACTGTCTTTGCAAAGGCACCCAGATACGGCAGTTTAGATAGTCACTCCAGACTGCCAAATATCCCAGACCTCTCCTTTAAAGTGCAGGCATTGTACTTCCCATTTCCAGGACTCGTGTCTAGCTAGCCAGTTTCCCCTGAATCCCTTCACAAAATATTACCCTGCTCATACTCCAATGGCTAGTCATATATTGATATACAGTGGACCCCCGGTTAACGAACTTTCTTCATTCCAGTAGTATGTTCAGGTGCCAGTACTGACCGAATTTTTTCCCATAAGGAATATTGTGAAGTAGATTAGTCCATTTCAGACCCCCAAACATACACGTACAAACGCACTTACATAAATACACTTACATAATTGGTCGCATTTGGAGGTGATCGTTAAGCGGGGGTCCACTGTATTGCATATATTGAACAAATACTAATACTAACTTACTGCATAAATATAATGCATTTTATCATCAGTCATAAATATGATGCATCATCTTTAACTTGGGAGTAATATGCTATACAGACTCTCCTCACTCAGTGACGTATTCGGACTTACGATGGGCTCTCTGAGCAGGATTCGTAAATAAATAATGTATGTTAAAGCTGATCTCCTCTATTCTGATTATTTCAGTATGCAGTACACTAGTGTATAAACATTTAACCCTTTCAGGGTCCACAGGCCCTCTCAGAGACTTGTTCTCAGGGTCCCCCAAATTCCGAAAAAAAAAAATTATTTTTCTTATGAAAAGATAGAGAATCTTTCCCGATCATAATGACACCAAAAGTATGAAATATGATGGAAAACTTACGAAATTATGCTCTCGTGAAGTTAGCGGTCTCGACGATGTTTACGCAGCAGCGATTTTGCCCACTTTGAGCCCTATTTTCGGCCAATTCCAGTGTACTAGTTGACAAAAATCATACCTATTTTGCTAGAACTGCATTTTTTCTATCGAATGAGTACAAGAAACCACCCATTTACCGATTTCAACTATCCAATACAGTGGTCAGAATTTAGCAATTTTGCCAATTTCACACAAATTTCAAAAGATGTCAATTTCCAAATAGGGTCCAGAATAAACAAGAAAGACATTCCTGGCATTAAAATAATATTTCCTCTGTTCATTAGTCACTTCCCCATGCCCCTCTTACATTCTTTTGCTTTCCATTTTGAATTTTTATTCTCACAAAAAATAGAAGATTTACTGTTATACAGACTACTGCATTAGTGTAGAAATGGTATAAATAATATCGGCGCACTTGTGAAAGAATATTAGACTCACCAGTTGACGTGTATTGGACGCTTAGCATGATTTGTTTACTTTTGAAATTTGGTAAAAATCAAACATTTCTGCTACTTTGAGCTCAATTTCAAGGCATTTTTCATTGTAAAACCAGTCAAAATCATCTCAATTTCGGTAATATGTCTTCCATTCTATCAAATGAGGCCAGGAAAACTAGAATACAACAATAAATACCATACGAAAATACAGTGCAAAGTCACTGTTTTAATCCAAAAACACAGGTTTTTTTTTTCTCATTACACACTGTGTGCTGCAGGATTTTTTTTATACTGCGCACACTGACCACATAGACCCATTCTTTCATATGTAGGCCTACTAGCTTTCTCTCACTAGATTTGAAGGCACTAGAATTTATGAGTACCAGTACGTCAAGGACCCTGGCACGTAAGCCATACTAGTACAGCCTAAACCCTGAAAGGGTTAAAAATATACCAGAAGTGTTATAAATGATGCAAAGGTGACATTAAAACAATATCAGAGATGGTTGACACACTACCATTATAGTATGCTCCTTACTTAGCGACAAATTTGTTTAGCGACGTGGTCTCAGGAATGGAACTTAGTCGTTAAGTGAGGAGAGGCTGTATTTTTATTATTATATAGCTGGACCATTCCTGAGATCCTATTTAATGCTTAGGAGTATAAACTTTCCAGTTTTCAAACAATAATTATTTTTATAGAGAAGGTTTACTACAGTGGAACCTTGGTTTTCGTATGCCCTGGTTTTCGTAGGATTTCATTTTTGACAACTTTTTTCATCTAAATTTTGTCCCAGTTTTCATACATCCACTCGGTTTTCATAGAGTTGACAATGGTCCTCCGTACCATACGCGTCGGCCTGCCCGCACCCACATAAAGCATCCCACATGTTTTGACTCAGTCTGGCTTTGTTTCTCGTTGAGTGAGCATTACCCCGCATGTTCAGATAGCATTTCATAATAATCCATTGTTTTTTGTGCTTGTTTATTGAGTGCGACTGCTTAATAAGCCATCCTGGGGCCAAAGAAAATTCCGAGTGCCAGCCCTTTGATAAAGTAGGCGAGAAACACGATAGAATTCAAGAAAGAACTCTTAGCAAAGTATGAAAGTGGCAAAGTGGAAAGTGGCAAAGTACGAAAGTGACCGCAGCTGAGGAAATTGCTTCAGAGGAGGAGGAAGAGAGAGGGGAGAATGTACCTTCTTCAGTGATTAAGGACGTGTGCAAAGTAGAATGAGTTACAAAGTTTTGTGGGGAAACATCACCCTAACAAAGCTGTTGCAAGCCATGTCTGCAACATGTTCAATGACAATGCCTTGTCCCATTTTGAGCAAATCTTAGAGACATTAGAAACAGACCTCTCTGGACAGATTTTTTGTGTGACAGGGGTCCAGTGACTCTCAAGCTGGTCCTAGTGCCAGTAAAAGACAAAGAAGGGAAGTAACCCCAGTTAGGGTCTTTATACCTGAGGTCCATATGGAGGGGGGATTCCCCTTCCAAACAATAACCTCTCCTCCTTCTCCCCTCCTCGCCGCCTTCCATACGCCAACAAGAGTCTTCAATAAAGGTAAAAGTGATGTTAAGTGTTCATTTATCCATTTCATTAGTCATTTATATTTATTTATCATTGTTTACTGTACATAAAGCTATTCTCTATAAAATGTATTTAGTGTTAATATTTTTGGGTGTCTGGAACGGATTAACTCGATTTACATTATTTCTTATGGGAAATATGGCTTCAGTTTTCATCAGGCTTTCTGGAACAAATTAATCACAAAAACCGAGGTTCTACTGTATTAGCCATATTTATAATGAAAAAATGAGTGACACGTGTGTTATTAATTAATACAGTGGACCCCTGCTTAACGATCACCTCCCAATGCGACCAATTATGTAAGTGTATTTATGTAAGTGCATTTGTACGTGTATGTTTGGGGGTCTGAAATGGACTAATCTACTTCACAATATTCCTTATGGGAACAAATTCGGTCAGTACTGGCACCTGAACATACTTCTGGAATGAAAAAATATCGTTAACCGGGGGTCCACTGTATCTTTGTCTATATTGTATATAATAATAATATTTCTATTTACCAGTATGTAATACCAACAGTATTTTAACTTTGATTTTTTGAGGCATTCTGACAATATTTTAACTTTGATTTTTGGGTCATTCTGCATTCTTGTCAGTAGAAAAAGGTAAAACAGCTTTCCAGGCCCGGTGGCCTGGTGGCTAAAGCTCCCGCTTCACACACGGAGGGCCCGGGTTCGATTCCCGGCGGGTGGAAACATTCGACACGTTTCCTTACACCTGTTGTCCTGTTCACCTAGCAGCAAATAGGTACCTGGGTGTTAGTCGACTGGTGTGGGTCGCATCCTGGGGGACAAGATTAAGGCCCCCAATGGAAATAAGTTAGACAGTCCTCGATGACGCACTGACTTTCTTGGGTTATCCTGGGTGGCTAACCCTCCGGGGTTAAAAATCCAAACGAAATCTTATCTTATCTTATCTTATTGAGGGGAATTTTACAGTTTGTGAATACGTATTAGCAAAAGGATTTCACATTTGTAGCTCTTCATATTTAATAGCTTTCCAGTTAACTTTCTGAAGCAATGATTATCATTATTATAATCAAAAAGAAGCGCTAAGCCACAAGGGCTATACAGCGCTGCTGAAGCAATGATGATCAACCCAATATTATTCATAATTGCACACCCATTCACCTATGTGAATTAGCAATTCCCCATTAATTTAATGCTAATCATTTCAGAGCCAAATGATGAGAGCAGTGCAAATGTTGATGCAGCAAAGATGTGGAGAGATGACAGAGAACAGTTCAACAAAATTGCAGAGAGGTTGGTTCGCAAAACACTAAATTTACCTTATCCATAGTGAGGACAAAATGGTATAGTACTCGGTTTAAGGGAAAAATGCTTTGGATATGTCAGTCTTGTACATGACAAGATTCTTTCAAGTTCTTTTGTGATTATATATATGTATTAGGGTCACCTATCATGCCACTGTGAGAATTATCAGGGCTTAATGACAGGTAAAACAACTTATAAATTTTCTCGTGCGAGCCTAATAACTTGAATTTTTTAAGTGCCTTGATATCCTTGTGTTGTTTCCTCTGACAGTTCCACCTTTAATTCAAGTGAAAGTGATTTACTGTATCTGTTTATTCTCTCTTCACCCTTGTACTATCCCAGAACCCCAAATGTCATCCACTTCTTTACTATGAAACACTGACCCACACAGGTTTAGTGCTTTAAATTAATATAATGTATTACTGTACATATTATATATTGTATATATAGTGAATATGCAGAGTGGTTAATTTTCAAGTATCATTTACTTTATATAATTAAAAAAGAACTAGAAACAAGATAATTTGCCAAAGTGATATTCTGACTATTTTCTGTAAACAGCAGTTTGTTAGCATAAAACCGGTACAGGTAAAGTTGTATTTTAGATATGAAATGTGATTAGATTAGTTAACCTAAAATTCTTCCAAGGTATGAGTTTATAAATAGCTCATAATTTTGTATTGTTAATATTCTTTTTAATCCCAAATGTTTTAAATGATATTTTTATAAGAAAAGATGGTTTGGACAGTTCTGATATATAGAAAAAGTGAGAAAAAGTAATATAGCATATTTAATTTGTGTGTCTTAGTCTTATGAGTTTGAACACAAAGAAAAAATTGAGAACAAGCTTTTATTTTGAGGCAGTGTTTTTGTGTGCAGAGCTTTTATCAAGTCATGAACATGAAGCTTTATGCAACAAAATAGTCCCAATAAAGGATGGTTCTGCAACTTGGATCTTTGTGGTCATACTTATTGACAGTAGAGTATTTCATCCATTGTAATAGGTAATGAACTATCAGATACCTAATAAACTTGTTTCTATAAAATGAGATCTGTATTTTGTATTGATAGGTAGTTATCTCTTTACATCATGGTGTAGTTGTCATTGCAATTATATGGTAATGCTTAATCTGTTCCTAGTCTCGGCTTGTTTATGTACAATATTTGACTGAAATTAGTACATGTTAGGTATTGGTTTTCACTTTAAAATGGTTTAGAAAATTTCACATGCAGAAACCACCTATTGGTATGCTACTTGCATGCAGTGGTGTGATAACTAAAATGTGGCCTCGTCCACTTTATGTAAACAACTTTTTTTTCAGTGAACGAAACTGGACAGTCTTCAGTAAGCTCTACAACTCATAGCTTAGCAATTTTTCACAATGAATGAACCCTTGTTCACCATAATTGTTTTTTCAATTTTAATATTCATAGTCAAGCACTACACCTGTAGGAATCATACAGCCCCTGGGAAATTGGAGGTAATCAAGTTTAATGCAAAGGGATAGGTGTTTTTTTATAGTCTATTCTTCAACATTGCAGTCTGCCTGAACATCATATACTGGCAAAAAAATAAATTCCACCAGACATGAGTGTCCTATCTTCATCTTGTGTACACCTCCCCACACCATGAAATAATGTTAAAATATTATGAATCCTTGATTATAATAAACTGTTTCACCAACATGAAATGTTTTAACATGTGTGGTAGTAATACCAACCTATCATTGCAAGTCATAGATCTCAGGACTCTTACGTTTAGAGAATTTGAGCAGAGTTGCCATTGGTTAGCTAGGCTTTACAGAAAAAAAATTATGGCAGTTACTACATAAGTTATCAGTTCATCTCCACCAAAATATGTTCAGGGTAATGAGCAGGCAAATTGGCTGCAAAGTCTGCTGTTCATGACCTCCCAATTTCATACAGAGTATTCTTTTCTCAGGCTATTTTTTAGTAATCTCTCAGCAGCTTCTCAAATGCTGGCAACAATGTTGTCCAAATTGGTCCACAATCAATTACTTTGTCAAACTACTTTTGGATTTCTGGTCATCATCTCACTGTTGTTACATTTGGGAAACTGCAATCAATCTCTTGCCAGTGTGTCAGCCACATGCATTTCATGAACCTGTCATGGAAAAATGCTTTGCACTGCTCTAAGAGGGTTCCCAGGTTACATTGTCAGTTCACCATACAGTGGGAACCTAGAGTTTCAGCCGTAATCCATTCCAGAAGCTCAACCGAAGCTCAAATTGTTTGAAAGTCAAAGCAGTATTTCCCATAAGAAATTGTTTTTTTTTCTTTTTTTTAACAAGTCGGCCGTCTCCCACCGAGGTAGGGTGACCCAAAAAAAGAAAGAAAATCCCCAAAAAGAAAATACTTTCATCATCATTCAACATTTTCACCACACTCACACACTATCACTGTTTTTGCAGAGGTGCTCAGAATACAACAGTCTAGAAGCATACACATATAAAGATACACAACATATCCCTCCAAACCGCCAATATCCCAAACCCCTCCTTTAAAGTGCAGGCATTGTACTTCCCACTTCCAGGACTCAAGTCCAACTATATGAAAATAACCGGTTTCCCTGAATCCCTTCACTAAATATTACCCTGCTCACACTCCAACAGATTGTCAGGTCCCAAGTACCATTCGTCTCCATTCGCTCCTATCTAACACGCTCACGCACGCTTGCTGAAAGTCCAAGCCCCTTGCCCACAAAACCACCTTTACCCCCTCTCTCCAACCCTTTCGAAGACGACCCCTACCCCTCCTTCCTTCCCCTATAGATTTATATGCTTTCCATGTCATTCTACTTTGATCCATTCTCTCTATATGACCAAACCACCTCAACAACCCCTCTTCTGCCCTCTGACTAATACTTTTATTAACTCCATTCCTTTTCCTAATTTCCACACTCCGAATTTTCTGCATAATATTTACACCACACATTGCCCTTAAACAGGACATCTCCACTGCCTCCAACCGTCTCCTCGCTGCTGCATTTACCACCCAAGCTTCACACCCATATAAGAGTGTTGGTACTACTATACTTTCATACATTCCCTTCTTTGCCTCCATAGATAACGTTTTTTGACTCCACATATACCTCAACGCACCACTCACCTTTTTTCCCTCATCAATTCTATGATTAACCTCATCCTTCATAAATCCATCCGCCGACACGTCAACTCCCAAGTATCTGAAAACATTCACTTCTTCCATACTCCTCCCCAATTTGATATCCAATTTTTCTTTATCTAAATCACTTGATACCCTCATTACCTTACTCTTTTCTATGTTCACTTTCAACTTTCTACCTTTACACACATTCCCAAACTCATCCACTAACCTTTGCAATTTTTCTTTAGAATCTCCCATAAGCACAGTATCATCAGCAAAAAGTAACTGTGTCAATTCCCATTTTGAATTTGATTCCCCAAAATTTAATCCCACCCCTCTCCCGAACACCCTAGCATTTACTTCCTTTACAACCCCATCTATAAATATATTAAACAACCATGGTGACATTACACATCCCTGTCTAAGACCTACTTTTACTGGGAAGTAGTCTCCCTCTCTTCTACACACCCTAACCTGAGCCTCACTATCCTCATAAAAACTCTTTACAGCATTTAATAACTTACCACCTATTCCATATACAGTGGACCCCTGGTTAACGAACTTTTTTCGTTCCAGTAGTATGTTCAGGTGCCAGTACTGACCGAATTGTTTCCCATAAGGAATATTGTGAAGTAGATTAGTCCATTTCAGACCCCCAAACATACACGTACAAACGCACTTACATAAATACACTTACATAATTGGACGCATTTGGAGGTGATCGTTAAGCGGGGGTCCACTGTACTTGCAACATCTGCCACATTGCTCCTCTATCCACTCTATCATATGCCTTTTCTAAATCCATAAATGCAATAAAAACTTCCCTACCTTTATCTAAATACTGTTCACATATATGCTTCAATGTAAACACTTGATCTACACATCCCCTACCCGCTCTGAAACCTCCTTGCTCATCCGCAATCCTACATTCTGTCTTGCCTCTAATTCTTTCAATTATAACCCTACCGTACACTTTTCCTGGTATACTCAGTAAACTTATTCCTCTATAATTTTTACAGTCTCTTTTGTCCCCTTCCCCTTTATATAAAGGGACTATACATGCTCTCTGCCAATCCCTTGGTACCTTCCCCTCTTTCATACATTTATTAAACAAAAGTACCAACCACTCCAACACTATATCCCCCCTGCTTTTAACATTTCTGTCATGATCCCATCAGTTCCAGCTGTTTTACCCCCTTTCATTCTACGTAATGCCTCACGTACCTCCCCCACACTTACATTCTGCTCTTCTTCACTCCTAAAAGATGGTATACCTCCCTGACCAGTGCATGAAATTACTGCCTCTTTCTTCCTTAACATTTAAAAGTTCCTCAAAATATTCTCGCCATCTACCTAATACCTCCATCTCCCCATCTACTAACTCCCCTACTCTGTTTTTAACTGACAAATACGTAATGTAAATTCAATTCATTCCAGACACCCAAAAAATATTAAAAAAATACTTTTTAAAGAATAACTTTTGTGTTTGTAAAACTATATGTAAATATATATACATAGTACTTAACCCTTTGACGGTCACAAGCCCATTTCTGAAACTGTCATTCTATGTCGCAAAATTTTTGGGAAAAAAAATTATTTTTTCTTATGAAATGATAGAGAATCTTTTCCCGATGATAATGACACCAAAAGTACAAAATTTTATCAAAAACTTACGGAATTACGCTCCCGCGAAGTTAGCGACCTCGGCGATATGTATGCATCGGCGATTTCACTGACTTTGAGCCCTATTTTCATGGTTCCAATCAACCAAACTCATAGCTATTTCTTTAGAACTCCATTTTTTCTATCAATTGAGTACTAGAAACTGCCCATTTACTGATTTCAACTACCCAATAAAGTGGTCAGAAATTGGCAATTTGGCCAATTTCATGCAAATTAAAAAAGATGCTAATTTCAAAATAGGGTCCAGAATAAACAGACATTCTTGGCACTAAAATAACATATCCTCTGTTCATTAGTCACATCTCCAGGCCCCTCTTATATTACTCTTTCTTTCTATTTTGATGTTTTATTCACACAAAAAATAGATTTACTGTTATGCAGACTACTGCATTATTGTAAAAATGGTATAAATAATATCAGTGCACTAGTGAAAGAATATTAGACTCCACAGTTGACGTGTATTGGATGCGTGGTGTGATTTGCTTACTCTTGAACATTGGTAAAAATCGAACATTTCCACTACTTTGAACTCAATTTAAAGGTTGTTTTCATCATGAAACTAATCAAAATTATCTATTTCTGTAGTATGTTTTCCATTCTATCAAATGAGACCAAGAATATGAGAATACAACCATAAATACTATATGAAAATACACCTCAAAGTCGGTGTTTTAATCCAAAAACAGTGATCTTTTTTCTTGTCCTGTACTGCGTACTGCAGGATTTTTATGCAGTACACACTGACCACACAGACCCATTCTCTCACATGTGGGCCTACCAGCTTTCTTCTGCTTGATTTGAAGCCACTAGAATTATTGAGTATACATACGTCCGAAACACTGGCTCGTAAGACCTATATATACTGCCGAAACAGTCAAAGGGTTAAATGACTAATGAAATAAATATTTAAATAAACATTTGAAATCACATTTACATACCTTTTATTGAAGACACTTATTGGCGAATGGCATATCTACTCCTTTCGCAACATCGGCTTCCTTGATTTCTTTTTTCTTCGCCAGGATGGAACTGATGGTTGATTTGTTTTTGCCATACATCCTGCAAGCTGGAGCAAACGCATACCACTTTCATATTTTTTGACAATTTCTTTCTTCAAATCTATCGTGCCATTGCAGTGTACACAGATGGCTCTAAGTCTTCTGATGGCGTAGGATTCGCAGCAGTGTTTCCGGACAGCATCGCACGAGGGCATTTACTATCTTCGGCTAGTATTTTTACTGCTGAATTGTATGCCATTCTTGCAGCACTTATCCGTATTGCATCTATGCCTGTGTCATCATTTGTGGTTGTCTCAGACTCCCTTAGTGCTTTACAGGCTATACAGAAATTTGATACACCTCGCCCCTTAGTCCTCCATATCCAACTTTGGCTACGCCGCATCTTTACCAAGCATATTGTTTTTTGTTGGGTCCCTGGTCATGTTAACGTACAGGGCAATGAACAGGCAGACACTGCTGCGCGGTCAGCAGTACATGACCTACCAGTTTCATATAGAGGTATTCCATTTACGGACTATTTTGCTGCAACAGCTACCCACCTTCACACCCGTTGGCAACAACGTTGGTCTACTGTGCTCAGTAACAAACTTCAATCTATTAAACCGAGTATAGGTTACTGGCCATCTTCTTGTCACCAGTGTCGAGGTTGGGAGACTACTCTCTCCCGTCTTCGCATTGGCCATACTCGTCTTACTCATGGATATCTCGTGGAGAGGCGCCCTGCTCCTCTCTGTGAGAATTGTCAGGCTCCATTCTCAGTCAGCCACATTCTGTTGGACTGCCCACTTTATCAACGAGCATGCAGAATTTACCTCTGTCGTCGTCTTTGCTCCACTGCTCTCTCTTTACCTTCCCT